GGAAGCGGCTCAGAGAAATGGAATCCGCCCCCCCAGGTCACATGACTCCCCCCCGCCCCAGCACGTCACGTGATCCCCAAACTTTGTTACAATTTGTGTCCCTGCCGGTTCCTTCCCCCGGGGCCGGGGTCTGTGGGGGGCGCAGCCCCCCCCCCCCCCGCGATTCCTGAGGGTTCCCCCCTTCCCCCCACAGCTGATTGTGGGGCGGCTGGGAGTTCAGATCATGAGATCACCCCAGGCCTCAACACCCCCCTCGGCAGAAGCCATCCAGGAGATGCAGCCACCTCTGGGGTGGGGCTGGGGGGGTGGGTATACGGGGTCCCCCCTGGGGTGGGGCTGGGGGGGGCGTTTACGGGGTCCCCGCTGGGGTGGGGCGCGGGGGGCTGGGTATACGGGGTCCCTGCGCCTGACCGGCTCCCCACTGCCCAGCCTGGCCCCCCACAGCCTGGCCCCCCACAGCCCAGGCCCCCACTGCCCAGCCTGGCCCCCCACAGCCCGGCTCCCCACTGCCCAGGCCCCCACAGCCCAGCCTGGCCCCACACTGCCCAGCCCAGCCTGGTGCCCCATGTCGCTGTGCCCCAGAGCCCAGCAGCCCCTTCCGGAGGAGCGAGGGGCTGGGACACCAGATCCTCCCCCTTCCCCCTCCTCTAACCACTAGACCCCCCTCCCCTCCCCGAGCCAGGACTCCTGGGTTCTCTCCCTGGCCCCAGGGCCGCCCAGAGGATTCAGGGGGCCTGGGGCAAAGCAATTTCGGGGGCCCCTTCCATACAAAAAGGTTGCAATACTACAGAATACTATCTTCTCGGGGGGGCCCTGTGGGGCCCGGGGCAAATTGCCCCACTTGCCCCCGTTCTGGGCCACCCTGCCTGGCTCGGGGAAGGGGGGGGGCTGGGAGCCAGGACTCCTGGGTTCTCTACACAGCCGCGCTCCTCCCACGGGGTCCAAAGCGCCCCGGGCCCAGCCCGTGGAAGGGGGCGGAGCTTATTGGTTTCTCTATATGCAAATAAGCAAGGCCCCATCCCTTTCCTCTCGTTTGCATCTCGCGGCGCCGCCGCCTCCTGCGCACAATGGACCCCCTCCTCTAAGCGCCGCCCCCACGGGGCGGTACATGCTCCGTTTCCTGCTGCTCAGAAAGTTTGTGAAGTTTCGGGCGACCCCCCCCCACCCGCGCCCGCTTCGGAAAGTTGAGAGGGGCGGGGCTGGGCGGGGGTAGTTACTGGGAAGTGGGTGTCGGAGGGGGGAGCAGTGGCGGGGAGGGGGTGC